CAAAGTAGATCACATTCTGTGTCATAAAACACACCTCAATAAGGTAAAAAAATAGAAATCATAAAATGTCTGCTTAGACCACAATAAAATTTAACTAGAAATCAATGCTAGAATGATTAACCAGACAATTCCAAAAATATGTGGAGGTTAATGTACAAAAGTCAGCTTTCCTATAATAAACAAGTAGAATATGAAATTAAAAACACAATTTTATTTACATTAGCACTCCAAAAGATTAAATACTCAAGTATAAATCGAACAAAATATCTATAAGATATATGTGAGGAAAACTACAAACTCACATGAAAGAAATCAAAGAACTACATAAATAATCCACACTTGTGGATAGGAAGATTCAATACTGCCAAGACAATGGTTCTTCACAATCTATAGATTCAATGCAATCCCAATCAAAATATCAATTCTGTTAGCATTAACAGCTGATTCTCAATCTTAAATGGAGAGGTAAGAGACAGAGTTGCAGCCATAATGTTCAAGGAGAAGTACAAAGTTGGAGCACCAATGCTGTCTGGATTCAAGACACCAACTATATGAAACTATGGAAAAGGCAAAACAGTGGAAGCAGTGAAAAGATCAGTGGTTACTAGGAGTAGGAGGGAGAGATAAATAGGCAGTAGGATTTTTAGGGCATTAAAACCATTCCATATGATACTGTAATGGTAGTTTAGTGCCATTATAAACTTGTCCAAATTTGCAGGATGCACATCAACAGTGAACATTAATGTAAGTTACAGAGCTTAGGTGACAATGATGAGAGAAAGAATGTTTACCAATTTTCCCAAATGTACCACTCTGCTGGGGGATGTCGACAGTAGGACAGGTTTTGCATATATAGGGTCAGGGAACATATTGAATATCCTCATATCTTCTGGATCTTACTATGACCCTCAATCTTCTCTAAAATCTATAATCTTTTTCAAAGACATTTGTCATTGGACTTAGAGCCCATCCAGATCATCCAGGATAATCTCATTTAGAAATCCTGCACTTAATCATATCTTCAATGACCTTTTTTCCAAATACCTAACATTCATAGGCTCTAGAGATTTGACATAGATCTCACTCAGGGAGCCTTTAAACACAGACACACAAATACACACACACACACACACACACACACACACACGAGTTGTATAGACTGTTCCTCAAAATTGCCCACACACCGGAGGGAAGAATACACACACACACACACACACACACACACACACGAGTTGTATAGACTGTTCCTCAAAATTGCCCACACACAGGAGGGAAGAAGAGAGCATTAATCCACTACCTTCTCTAAAACCCCTTTGGTCCAGGGTCACTAGTGCATGTTAACTACCTTGCACCTTGATACACCTGTGCAAGAGTCAGTGGAATCCAGTACCTGTTCCACACAGTGGCATCAGAAAGCCCTACATGAAAGCAGCACAGTGAAGCAAGGTCCTGTTATGCGCACCAGCCTGAAGCTGGCAGCCACATCAAAGGTTGACACATAAAGGAATATATAACAAACTTATATTCATTTGCTAGGGTTGCCATAACAAAAGACTGCAGTGACTTAAACAATAAATTCATTTGCTAATAATTCTGGGAACTAGAAATCTGAAGTCAAGTTAGGAATAGGATTGATTTCTTTGGAGGTCTTTCTCTGTTCCTTGCAGATGATCGCTTTCTCCTAGTATATTTACACAGTCTTCTCTCTGTATCTTCGGATGCCCTACTTTCTTCTTCATATAAAGAGACCAGGACCCACCCTAATGGCCCTCAGTTTACTCAGTTGCCTCTTCAATAGTCATCTCTAAATGTAGGTCCTGGGAGTTAGGACTTCAATATATGTATTTGGGAAGAACATGAATTCAGCCCCTAAAAGAAGTCCTATGACTCAACAACAAGAAAACACAAAAACAGAGAGAAACAGGCATACATTCACCTATTTTTTAAAAATCAGAAAACAATTAAATATATATCTCCTCAAAGGAAATATTCAAATGATCTATAAGTGCATGAAAAGATGCACAGCCAGTAATAATTAATCAGAGGAATGCAAAACAAAACTACACTGACATACTACCTCACATCTATCAGGAAAGCTACAATTTACAAAAAACAAAACACAAAAAGCAGAAAATAATCAGTGGCAAGGATGTGGAGAAATGAGAATTCTTGCTCCTTGTTGACAGAAATGTGAAGCAGTCCCTAAAGTCATCAGAGAGAAGTCTAATTCATTCTTCCTGATATCTGCAAATTACTCTATAGTATAGCTACTTCACAATTTATGTATCCTATTCCTTCTCTTGAGGGAAAACTGATTTATTTCCAGGCCCCAAACACTAAAATATGCCTGTGGCACACGTCCTTTTTCAGTTTTCTGATGGTCTGGCCTTAAGTTCTATGGAAAGAGGATTTAGAGGCTGAAAATTGTAAGGATATTATGAATCTAGATACCAGCAGTGTTGCTCCAGGCAAGCACTGTGGAAAATACCATGGAAATTCCTCAAAAAATTAAGAGTTATCACATTATTCAGCAATTCCACTTTTTGGTGTATACCTAAAGGAATTGAAAGTAGGAATATAAAGAAATATTTGTACACCTATATACACAGCAACATTATTAATAGTCAAAAAGTGTAAACAACCTAAGTTTCTGCCAAGAGATGAACAGATTAACTGCAAGTATATATTATTCAGCCTCAGGAGAGGCAGTATTGATGAATGCTGCACGGCTAAACCCTGAATGTAAAAATGCTACATGCTAAATGAAAAAAGCTGGACACAAAAAGGCAAATATTGCGCGATTCAACTCATTTTTGTGAGGTACCCACAGTAGTCAAATTCATAGAGATGAAGAGTACAATGGTGCTTGCCTGGGGCTGAGAGGGAAAGGAATGGGGGAGTTATTATTCAGTGGAATTATTGCTATTATCTTTCAGCTTGGGAAGATGAGAAAAGTTCTAGAGATGGGTTGGTGATGGTTGCACAGCAACATGAATGCATTTAGCGCCACTGATGGTACACTCAAACATGGATGAGACGGCAGATATTGTTACATGCATTTATCACATTTTTAAAATTAACACAATTATTTTAAGGTGCTCTGAATAGATGTGCCGTAGAAGACAAAAGTATCTGATACTTTTGTTTTTTCCTATATTGAGGACTGACCCCAGTGTCTTTGCATCCTTATCCCTTTTTTAAAATTCTGAGACAAGTTCTCATTAAGTCATTAATTTTCCCAGGCTGTGCTCAAACTTGTGACTTTGTTGTCTCAGCCTCCCACAAGGCTGGGATTACAGGCGTTCGCCACCATTCACAGCTGTCTGATATGTTTTTAATGATATGTTTAATGATCTTTATTAATACAGTTTATTCATCTTATTCCTTCTCTTGATGGAAAATAGATTTCCAGTTCATAGATACTAAAACATGCCCACAGCATACACCGTTCTGTGTATTTCTGATGGTCTGGCATTGAGCTCTGCAGAAAGAAGAGTTAAAGGCTGACAATCCTAAGGATTTTGTGAGTCTGGGTACAAGCGATTACATGCTGACCCTTGATGATAACATGCAAGAGGTCACATAAACCACCCTAAGTCTTTGTTCCGTGAAGACACTGGTGGCCTGGGGTTGAGGGATGCTGCGTCAAGCAGGAGGCATTCTCTTGGGTGGCACCAACATCAGATATAACACATGAGCAGAGGCATCCCTGAACACCAGCAAGGGACCATGGACAGTTCCAGAAGTTGCTGAGGTAGACTCTGCCAGACTTGGGGCTTCCACAGTAACCCCATGATGATTTGTACCACTGGAATCTTACAGGGTGGGAACAAGTGGACAGAATGGGTGAGGCTCCCATATTCCTTCTCAAGGTAATGATGCTGTACTTGTTTGCTGGGGAATTCAAGGGACTTGGGGCTACTGAAATCATCACAGGGGTTTTACATTTTTCCAGGGCAAGCTAGGGAATTACATAAGCAGCTTTATTTCTCCTCAACGTAAGAGTAAAACAAATCTGACAGGAGAGGACACAGGGGATATACATGGCAAATGTCAGAATGATAAAAGATTCCATAGAGCATGTGGTATGAATAAAGGAGAAAAAAAAACAGAATTTGGAGACTTTACTCATTTTTCTTCCCTCTCATTGAATCTTAATTCTACACTTTATTATCATCTATTTAAAATTAAATTCCTACTTCCAACTCAGGAACTATGTCCAGATGACCCTGCCAGGGACCCACTCCGTCCGAGTATATCGGTTGCCTGGATTGATTCTTAAATTCACAATATGTTTAAATGACCAATACAATAATTGTTAAGTGGTCACTCTGGGAAGTTGGCCTGCATTACTGCTAAGTCATTTACATAATAACTTCCATGGATTTGTATGCACTGCCATCTAATTCTATTCTTCTTATGTATTCCAGACATAATTATCACATTTTTAGATATCTTTAAAACTCAGAAAGTGGAGAAAAATAGGGGAGAGCTTGAGAAAGAGAAATAATTAATATTTTAAATGGCCATGGATTTTCCTGCCCCTCTACTCAGCTGTCTTGGCTGCCTCCTTTTTCCAACTTGAAGCTGGTTTTATATCCCTAGGCTCCCAGATAAAATTCAGTTTCCCTCTCCAAGTTTCAACCCAGCTCCCCCAGCAATCTTCCCATGATGCCAATTGATTCCTTGCTCCTCCCCCACTACACACTTACTTTGACTACTTCACAATTTCCTCCTTTTTATTCACCACCGTAAACCCTGCCTGTGTTTCATATGTGCTGTCCCACATCTGATGTTGTCTTCTGTCAATCAAAGCTTCCCTTCCTTCAGGATGCAGCTCAAGTCCCGCCTCCTCCGTGAATGTTTCCAAGAACAGAAGCTCCCTATGGAGAGGAAGTTTTGTGTCTTGTTGTGCTGATAGATCACCACTGTGTCTGATGGATAGTGACTACTAAATACATATTTGCTAAATGAATGTAAAGCACAATCTCCTTCTTCAGTCCCTTTGCCAAAGATGAGGACATCTGTCATCCACATTACCTACACTTAGATCCTTCTTCACCACTACCTCACCTGACTAGACAACAGTTGCTCATTTCGCTCATCTTGTCTCCAGTAGACTGACAAAGGTAAGGCTCTCTTGCCATCTACCTTAACCTTTCCTTTGAGCTGCTATCCACCATGACATCATTCAGTAATGTTATCAGCTGCACATTTTGCTTTCAAGTTCTCTAGCATCAATACTGCGGTTAAACTCATATGTCAGTTTTCTTTCTCTATCACCCACAGGTACAGGGGTCACTTAATTTGGAATCTCTAATTAGCCATTCACATATCACAGGCTCTCACCATTATATGCAATCAACACTGGAGGTTTCCTGAGAGCTTAAGGGACACCAGCAATTACTTTCCTAACTGGATGGAAAGCATGCAAGGTATGTGGATTACCTACTAATACCAAAGCACCTTTCCCATTCCTTGAACAGTTTCTCTTGGAAAACTGCGACAGCCTCTTAGCTCAATCCCTTGACCCATGCTTTCTTGTGTAGTCTTGCTCCATGTGCCAAGTTCAACCTGGTCTTTACTATATACAAAGTCATACTTCTAATACATGAAGGTCATTGTTCATTTACTTAAACTTCTCCACTGGCATCTGTGCAATGCACAGCAGCGGTAGAGTTTCAAGGCCATTGAGAATTTATCCCCTGCATTTTTCTCTAGTCTCAGCTCTCAACGTGCACCTCTCATTCCCCTCTCCAGATTACACACACGCACATACACATACATGTGCATGCATTCATATGCACATGCACACAAATACACCATCATTTTACTCCACATGCACTTAGCAGCTCACATTGTGAGGTGAACTAAGTCTGGGGACTCAGACAAATTTAATCAGCCCCTTTATCTGCATTCATTGAATGAGAAAAGATGACTTATGTCTGTAAGCCTCTGCAAGGCACCTCACCTGTGAAGCAGAAATAATTTTTCTTCCCTGAAGAGATTTCAATGTATCCACTGGGGATTCTACACGTTTCATTTCTTAAAGATTAGAAAATAGGTGACTAAACAAGGAAATGCTATTGAGCAGAAGAAGGAAAGAATGTAGGCTCTCTCTGAATTTTGCTTTGTTGAAAAAAATTTTTTCAGCCTTGAGACGAGAATCTAGCAGTCAGGGGATGAGCTCTGCAACCATGTTATCTTAGATCAAATCCTGGCTCCTTCATACATTTCAAATAAGACCATGGAGTCCATCAGTGACTCAGTTTTGGGATTTGTTAAATCATGACAATAACGGCATCTTCTTCTTTGTATTTTTGTGAGAATTAAATAAATTGATAGTTGTAAAGTAACTAGCATAGTGCCTGGCATATAGTGAGGACCCGATAAAGTCACTGTTATATACTCCAATTTTTAATCCAATTTTCCCATATTGTTACGTCAATGATACTACAATAGGTAAAGGACGATGGAGTGTAATTGAAGCACACTGCACTAGAGACTTAGTTTCTGCTCTCTGCTCTGCCATGTTCTATCTGTGTGACACTATCTCCTTTCCTAACTCTGACTCTTTAAGTTTTCCAATTAAAACATTGAATGAAGAAATGTTTCAAATTTTAGTAATGAAATCCTCCTTGTAACATTGACTTTTTGATACTAATATTATATAGAAGACAGATAAAAATGATGTTGGTTACATTGAAGCAGGAGTAGACCTGTCTCTTGGACTTTCATCTTCCTCCTGCCCAAATGCTGTAAGATACCTGTGGGCAACCCTAATACTCCTTGGCAGGATGACTGCAATGCATGACTTATGGGCATCTTTGGTTTGAGTGACTTCCCCTTTCAAAAATGTTTTTAAAGGTCCAGGGATTTAACTCAGTGGTTCCACCACCTGCCTTGCAAGCACAGGGATCCGAGTTCGATCCCCAGTACCCCCCCAAAAAAAGTTTTTAAAATTCTGGCCAAATGGTGAGTACTCAATAAATATTAATTATTGATGATGATGATGATGATGACGACGATAACAATGACAACTATGATGATGATGTGACATGCTGACTGACCATTTTAGTCATGTATGTATTGAACAAGTAACTGATGGAAAGCTTACTGTGGGTTTAAGGGATGGACTAGTCCCCCTGAAGCATGTCTTCACTCTAACATGAAGATCATAAACTTTTCCCATGGTCTAACTGCATTCCCAAGTTGGTAATGAAGCTAATACAGTGACAAGCACATACAAGAACCAATCTCAGCTGCAGGCTCACTCTACAACCACTTTAGCAAAACCAGTGTGTGCCAACTGATTATTTCTCTTTTCAGGAGTAGCATTGCAGAGTTAACACTGAGTACAGCAGCCTACCTCATCCCTCATGGATGTGTTCCAAGCTCACCAATGGATGCCTGAAATCACAGAGTGCTGAATACTGTATAGTATACACTGTATTTTTCTTTATGCATACACATCTATGATGAAGTTTAATTTATAAATAAAGTACATTAAGTGGCTAATCACAATAAAAAAGAGAACAATTATGCCAGCATACATGAAAGACTATGTGAATGTATTCTACTGTACTCACTCTTTTTGTGATCATGGAAGATGATATAATGCCTATGGGATGTGATGAAGTGAGGTAATGACATACAGTGGCACAAAATTTAAAACCAGTGAGTTGCTTATTTCTGCAAGTTTAATATGTTTGGGCTATGGTTGACTGTAGATAGTTAAGACCTCAGCAAGCAAAACTGCATGTATGAGGAACAATTGCAAATATGCCAAATTGTGTCCACAGGAGCCTGTTAGGTGGCACAGTCTGAGAGCAAGCCACCCTGGGTTCCCAAACAGCATTAAAAAAAAAAAAAAAACTCCCTCTCTTGTGCACATACATCTCACTGTCTTGAGGGGCATGCATATACCAGGGAGCTAAGAAAAGAAAGTCAAGAAACCTTTATTAGTGGGATTGTCTAGAAATCTCCTGGGCCATCTTGGAAGATTTTGATAGTAAGAAGGGAGTGATTATTGGTCATCAGGATAAATCCTTCAGTCTCCTTTCCAGCCAGCCCACCTACGTGGAGCTTCTCCCTTAACTTTCAGCCACTCAGGCCTGTGCAGTGGCTTGTCGAGGACGCCAGTGAGGTTCCCCTCCCAATGCTGCCTCGTGTATCCCATACTTCTTGTTGACTTTACACCTGTCTGTACAGCAGTCTCTTCCCTTTTTGCTGCTGTTTTTCAAGAAACTAACACTTGTAGCGACAGGTAGGGTGAGGGCCTTGGCAATCGGATCCCACAGAGAAAAGGCAACTGGACTGTATACGAAGTTCCCCTCTGATGACTGCCACAAGCTGAATGTGTCTTCCCCCAACTTCCTATGTGGAAGCCCTAACACTTAGTACGACTGTACTTGGAAATAAGGCCCAGACATTAATTAATTATGTCATAAGGATAGGGCTAATGGGGTTAGTGTCCTTATAAGAAGAGACACAAGAAGCTGGTTCTCTTGCTGTCACCCACACACTACTGAGAAAAGGCCATGTGAGGACATACAGTAGGAAAGCCACCATCCACAAGCCAGGAAGAAAGAAAGTCCTCACCAGAAACCAAACCTGCCAGCACCTCGATCTTGGACTTCCCAGCTTCCAGAGCAGTGAGAAAAAAAGTGTCTTTTGTTTCAACTGTGCAGTCTATGGAAGCCTGAGCAGACTAAGGCAGAGACATTTGTGTGGTTTGAGGGAATGTACCTCAACAGGACTTGAGCTGCTGAGCTGACTAAGGAACTGTATGCAGCACTTTATCGTCTCCTAGGCAGAGACTTGACTACTGGCAGTCGTTAACAGACTTCATTCCACTCCACAATTCTTTGGGAGGTTTTGAATTATCTCTGGCAATGTGTTTGTTCCTTCCCAATGTGGCAAACAGAGCTTTCAAAGTCTTCAAAGCTGTGAGACAGCCGCTGAGAACACAGCTGTGTGTTTGGATAGATCTCTGCAAGGGCCCCTCTCATCCGCTATACCATAGGGACCAGAGTTGGGAGAGGGGTGTAGAAATGAGGCTTCTAATCAAAACAATCCATATTTTAAAACACATACCAATGAATATATGTTAAAAGTCTGTTTATGTGGGCTGTGGTGACATACACTGGTAAGCCCAGCACTCAGGAGACTGAGGCAGGAGGATTACCACAAGTCCAAGGCCAGTCTGAACTACAAAGTAAGTTCATGGGCAGTCCAAAATACACAGTGAGACCCTATGCCATAAACAAAAACAAAAAATGTTTGTAAGAGTAATTTATGCTCATTATATAAAACTGAAAAATTAAGGGTTAAAAAGGAAATTGAAATTACCTATTGTTTAGATGCATTTTCTTCTAGCCTTTATGTTTGCACAGAATTGAGATCGTACCATGTATACTGCATTTATATATACTTTTTAACATTGTGTACCACTGAAGTTTTATTATGTCATTAATTGTTCATATGTGCTATTTTAGTGATTTTTTTTTAATGTGTGATTTTTTTTTTAACCCAAGTTCAAGGATGTTTTAATGTAAAAATGACAAGTGTCGAGAAGGGCTGACTGTGGCTTGATTACCTCATGTTCCACATGCCTTGGCTGTAATTACCTGATTCTAAGGTGAGCTACTAGGGCAACTGTGGAGTCTTTTTTTCTCTAGAACTTGACAGCGGAAGAGTACCATCCATCCAGGGTGGTTGTGACAAGTGCTTAAATAGTGGGTTAGTGCAACTTTAAATACAAACACACACATGGCAATTAGTCATTGGGGTCATAGCTAGGACAAAATACATGACACACAACTTCAAGTAGAAAAGATTTATTTTACTTCGTGTTTTCAGAGGTTTTAGTCCATGGTCAGCTGGCTCCAAACCCGAAACATCACACTAGAAGGGTATGGCAGAGGAGAGCTGCTCACCTCATGGCAGCCAGGAAGCAACAGAGAAAGAAACTGAGAGGAAGGGGCCAAGCGCCAGATATATTGCTCAAGACCACAGGACTGACCCACCCAGACATACACAGAAGTGTGCTTTTTACCTCCTCGGCCTCTGTCAAGCCAATCACATGACGGTCAAGATGAACCATCACACCAAGCATTGGAAGGACCCCGACAGGGAGACAGATGCTCTTATCTCTTCCCTGCAGATCCTCTACTGCTAAATGCAACTCTTTCGACCACATGGAAGGGAAACTAAGACCTAGAGAGCCCATGAGGCCAGCACAGAGAGAATAATTCTGGCTTAGCCTTTGGTGCTTCCTCTCTTTCTTTTTTAAATGTAACAAAGTTTTGGGTTAGATATACAATAAAGTATGACAAAATAAGATAAATAGCTTATACCCACCACCCAACATCAGAAATAAAAATGTACATAAAACTTCCTGAGTTCCCCTTCTCACATACTGCCCTTTCTTCCAGCTTCTCCCCCAGTTGGTGATCACTGTCCTGAATTTATTGCTTTCTGTGCCACAAAGGTTATTATGTCTTTGTGTGTGTGTGTGTGTGTGTGTGTGTGTGTGTAATTTTTCATATTGTGTGTGTGTGTGTGTGTGTGTGTGTGTGTGTGTGTGTAAAGTTTTTCATATTTCAAGCTTTATATATTGGTCATTTGGGGGAACCTTCCTACAACTATCTGTTTCTCACCTAACACTTTTGCACAGTTTATCTACATGTTAATATCTAGGGTATTCTATACTGTGAATATTTTGTAATATACCTACATACTCTCAGGGTTGTGAACATTTAGGACATTTTCACCACTACCTTAGCTTAGCAATGAATATTCTTGTGTGGGAATATTGCCCAAATTCCTAGGCTTTACACTTCGAGTGAAGTCACTTGGAGTCCTTAGCTCCTCCCCAGATATGTGGGGTTCTTGCCAAACACCTCACATTACAATCCTATTATTGCTGATTTGTGGTGTGCCATGATGCAGAGGGCAGAAGAGAGACTGCCACAGAGGAATAGATAAGTTGGACTGAAGCAAAGTGGCAGGTGGGAAATACATGTAGGAAAACCCCTCTCAGGAATAGTGAAAAGAAACTCAAGTGCTCTAACTCTAACCGTGATCAATTCCCAAACTCCTTCCTGGAGGATGTCTGAGGTTTCTAAGAGACTAAAGGTATACACTCAGATGTTCATTGATTGAAAACAGTGTCTTACTTTATATTTTTCATCATTAAATGAAAAAATGGCAGAGATATTAAAGTTCTTCAGAACATTTAACTAACTGGCAATGTGTTTGAACATTTCACTTCCACCTTCTGAATTTTTTAATAACTACTTTCTAACCAAGGGCTCTTGAAGACTCCAGCCAACACTTTCAAGTAAAATTTATTCATTTGAAGTTCTACCGTCTCTGTTTTTAAGACTCTCAGAAAAAGTTAAATATTTATCCCTCCAATTTGGCCTGCTTTAGCAAATGCTGATTATTGCCTTGAGTTTTGATTTTTACTTTTAAAGAAAATTACAACCAGCACTGCTCTCTCAATCCAGCTACAAAGGCACTTCCTTTACATAATGGCCTTCACCCAAACCAGAGTCAAGCTTATTAGTCAACCATCAGCAAGAGAAAATGGAATCCTCGAAGTCTCAATGGAACAATGTCTGTCTTTGGCCCTGCTCAACTAAAAGATTGAAAGATTTGGACACAAAGAAAATAGTTGAAATCTAGATTCCTTTCCTCCCCAGAATAAGCTTGCTATGAAGTAGGTCAGACTGTGTTGCTAAACATTTTTAAAATTCTCTTTAATTCTTTCACTGGCTGTACCTGGGGCCGTGGAGGGAGAATTGTCCAATTAATTACAGCAACATTGGAGTGGACAAAGAAAAGCTTCTGAAGTGCTGATTATCTCCTGCTCCATCCCCAACGAGTTCATCAACATGAAAACTATTATCAAAAGAGCTACTGGTGGTGAGGCAATTATTATACAACAAATACCTTAGGAGACCCGCCTGGTTGATCATAAACATTCATTCTCCCTCCTGAGCCTGAAGGGGAGGCTGACACAGCTCAAGAAAAGGCCAAGATGGATCTGCAAGAGGAGAAACCCGGGATGAACCTCGACTCCAAGACTGACATCCTACCCCAAAAAGCCCAGGGAAGGGCTGTTCAAATGAAGAGAGATGCCAACAATTCTAAGAGAGGTGTGTCTGAGTGATTCAAACACACCAAGAGCATTCATACTCTAGTCTTTGCGTACACATGCTTCTGAATCCAAATCCTTTCTTTTCTTTGGCTTCTAACATATATTCCTACCTTAACCACAGAATGGTACAGCTGTTCCCAAGAGCAACCTTACCAGAAAGTAAACAATATTGTTTTATCACCTAATCAAAATGTGGCCAGTTTAAACGTTTTTAAAATTTATGTATCTATGAAAAAATTATGTATTTATGACTTTAAAAACTCTTAAGCTCCTTTTCTGAATTATCATGAGCAAACAAAATC